CATTTTGATATCTAACAGCGTGGTCTCTAACCAGTTTCTCTCCAGTTTGATATCTAACAGCGTCGTCTCTAACCAGCTTTTATCCATTTTGATATCTAACAGCGTGGTCTCTAACCAGTTTCTCTCCAGTTTGATATCTAACAGCGTCGTCTCTAACCAGCTTTTATCCATTTTGGTATCTAACAGCGTCGTCTCTAACCAGCTTTTATCCATTTTGGTATCTAACAGCGTGGTCTCTAACCACTTTCTCTCCAGTTTGATATCTTAACTTCACGGAACTTGCCTAATATATATATATAACCAGCTCCGTCTTTTCTTTAAAACGTAAAGCAGTTGTGAATTTTCTGCACGATCTGTTTTACAGAACCTTCCACTAACATCCGATTAAAGCTATCATTCAACTAGATGGAACATTTTTTTAGATCTTGTTTAATGAGTGAATATGTTTCTACTGTTCTGCGTTAAGCTGGTGTTGTTTTAGCACAAAGCTACTTAATAGGCCATCTGCGCTTTGTGGGGAATCGAACTCTGGATGTAAGTCCATAAACTTACCGCAGACCCACTGATGGTACTTATGAATAAATTACACTTTGTGTTACTTCGATTTCCCTAAAACTTTTAAAACAGTTGTCATAGTCATAATGTTTACTATTCATCAAAGTGAAAAAATTTTCATCCCGCCATAGGAACTTTCATCATATGAATATTTTATACTATATGTGCATAGTTATCCCTAATTTTCAACTAATAAGCTAGAGAGAAGGCGGCTAGTCATCAGCACACATCACCAATTCGTGGGTTACTCTTGTCTGACCAGAAAAATGAGATTTGACTGTCACTTTTGTAGTACACACGTGACCCCCAAAGTATGGAGATATTTGTTTGGGGCAACAGGACGCGAATCATGAACCCTCGAATTCACAGGCACGCTAACCCCAAGGCCAGGGCCAGGCCTTACCTTCTTGAAAACACTCATAATACCAACAGAACCTCAATGGGTTTGCCTAAAGGTTCACTAAGAGTAGGTGATGCCCATATCTAGTTTGTGTTAGGCTTAACATCTTTCTTCTAACATCCGATCCCATGACTATTGTTCAATGTCGCTGTTTCTAAGTGGAGCTTTTTGGTTTTGACATTGAACTCCAGACGACTTATGTAATGTCATATGCCAACTTATGTGATAAACTCCTTAGTGGATTACTTCTTTGAAAGAATCCTCTCGAGGATTTCGCATAGTTACTCCATGGTGTCCATGGTGTTTGCTCTTGTGACACTTCTTAATTTCATTGGCTGTTGTTTTTTTTTTCTGTCGTATTGCTTTATTTATATTACGTATCAAATACTAAAAAATAAATACTCTTAACTTGTACAAATAAACTTAACTACACTATCATGAACTGGTTGTGGTCTGTTGGTTAGCGTGCCGGGCTGCAGATCGAAAAGTTTAAGGTAACCGCTGCGCTGAAACTAAACATGCTTCGCACTTTCAGTTTTGGGAAAGTTATAAGAGTGACAGTCAATCCCGTTATTTGGTTCAAAGTCGAACAAAGCTATAGTGTCGCTGAACGAAAAATAAGAATGGCTAAAACTGACGATGTCGTTCAAGTTGAACATATAAATAGCTAGCTTAGTTTTTAAAAGTTTGTACTTCGCGGAAAAGAACCAACAAGTAGTTGAACTTAAGCTTGACCCTTGCTACTTCTTCAGGTTATCTAATTAAAACTCACCCAATGCTGGTGCCACTTGTTCATCACAAATGCAGGACCAAGAGAACGGGCTGGATTTAGTGATGCTCCGCTTGCCGGCAGCTAAAAATAAAATAAATATATTAACCGTTTTCTTACTTCGTCACGTTGTAACAGACACACATATAGAACTTAATACAATAAATACATAATATAACACTGATAGCTTAAACAGAAGTTAATGGTGATGATTTCAACGGAATTTGATACTTATAATATAAAATTTAATACATATAAGTTAAACTTGTAACGTATGTGAACTTTATATGATAGGTAACTGTCTTTCTTTTCGTTATCACAACATTATTATTGCGAATATTTACACCGTTATGCTGCCGAAACTTAGCTATACAAACTCCAGACAAAGATTCACAATATACTTTATGAATAATGGATTCAGTAAGGTTCAAACGAGTGAGTTCGTGCACGATGGTGTTTATATGGTCGCCAAATACTTTTACTGTCTAAACGAAGACTTTATATTGAAAAATGTTACGCCTAGTTTTGTACATCATTGTTCAATGAAATTAAAGAAAAGATTACAAAACCAACAAGTTTCTTTTTTTTGGAAGATGACGTTTCGAGCTGGCGCTCTTCGTCATATCGTAAGGCTTAATTAAAAGCTCGATAAGTCAACTTCCAGAAATAAGAATATATATATATATATAGCTTGACGATTTTTATAGCCTATTCTTTAATTTCTGTGTTTTTGTCATCTGTGCGGTTAACTATGTTTACGTCATTGTTCAATGCCACGCCCACTTTAGTGTTTTATTGTTCAATGCCACGCCCACTAAGTGGTTTATTGTTCAATGCCACGCCCAGTTTAGTGATTTATTGTTCAATGCCACACCCACTTTAGTGATTTATTGTTCAATGCCACAGCCACTTTAGTGGTTTATTGTTCAATGTCACACCCACTTGAGTGGTTTATTGTTCAATGCCAAGCACAGCTTGTCTAGCTTTAGATAACTCTTTCACTGTCCTGTTTCTAGATGAGTAACTCTTTCAGAGCCAGACTTGTTTTTAGATACACAATAAAAACAAAAAAATACAAGATTTGATATTTCGCTACTTAGCTGTAATTTAAAACAGGTAAACTGTGGTAGATACTTATAGCTTCTCCTGTACATTTTAAAACATACACGAGGAGAATGATATCTGTAATAAATATGATATTAATGCTCCTCCCCTACATTTTAAAACATACCAGAGGAAAATGATATCTGTAATAAATGTGTCATTAATGCTCCTCCCCTACATTTTAAAACATACCAGAGGAAAATGATATCTGTAATAAATGTGTCATTAATGCTCCT